TTTTTTTTTTTTTTTTTTTTTTTTAAATAGGATACCTCCCTGGCAGAAATACATGTTCACTTCAGAACTTCCATCTATATATGGGACCATTTATCAGAGATATTTGATGGATCAATTTTTGTTATACTGCATTCATACTAAGTATAACTGTAATGCAAGTTATAACTCGTGTAACTCTTGAGCTAAGTGATTTCACAGGGATATTTTCAGTGGTCTTCATACAGTTTTGAACATATTTTTAAAGCTTATGCCTCTATTTGGTCTGGTTTTATTGGTGAATCTAACTAACCATTTTGCAGACTTTGGGCCTGATCCTTTACTTGGCTGGGGAGACTCAAGAGTCTGCTGACTCTGATCCAGATGTGAGATCAGGGCTGTGGGGTTCTCTTTAACTGTATGTTTGTACAACCTCTCCTAATTGCAGATTCTACATGTCTTTACATTTTCTTCAAGTAACTACATATGGAACTAGTACAAGTAAATGGTTTACATCATTCTCTTCTAAAATCTTTAATAATGATATTGTATGTGATAAATGGCTGTGGCTCACCTTTTTCACTGGTTTTAGAAGATTACATCATTAAATACTATACAGCTTCTGTCCCCTCACAAAATTATTAATTGAATTTTGTTGTACTTGGGTTCCTTTGTGATAAAGATCTCTGTAAAGGACAGTTTTTAAGATTCTTCTCAAGACAAAACTGGCTTCATTGTTTCCTAAATTTGAAGTTTTGGGAAAGCTTAATTTTGATTTTTTTTTTTTAATTGGAATTTATACACTTCTGTGAAATCATGGAATCTTTTTAATGTTGTAGCCAAATATGTCATTACATGCTGATAGGTTTCATGTTTTGCAATAATGCTTATGGCAGTAAGCATTGTGGTATTATGGATATTTTTGTGAGTTAGCAGAAAAATGTTTTGCTGACTTGGAGAGTCATAAAAGACCAGCACAAAGCACAGAAACTGACTAGAAAGCAGGGTATGTGGAATGGCTTGTCCATGTGAGTTAGTTTAGCAAAGCATGCATCTAAATCAGTTAAGTTACGTGAGTGTAGTCTCTTGCATTGAAATCCTTATTTTGGTTGAAATAAGGTCCAATTTGGTTAGCCTAACTTGACTGAGATTTATGATAAATCAAAAGTCACTTTTTATCTAGTACCTCTTTTAATAAATTGCTTTTCAGAAAAAATGTAACCAGTTCAACTGAAGAACTAAGCAAGCTTCAAGGAACAGAAAAGCTTTTAGTATATATTAATGTTTGGGGGGGGTGTTATTTATTTTTTTTAAACTACGCCTATGAGGAGGATTATGTAAAGGGGAATAAAAAAGCATCCAGAATGTTAAATGATGCTGCCAAAAGAAAATGTCAGTGAGTGCAACTGTTAGATTGGCTGTAAATTTCTTTTGGTACTGAACCTTCCTAATTCCAAGTGTTTGAGTACTATAACCACTTAGCTTTTATCACAGTTAAAACATTGGTTGTTTGTCTGGCACCACGCATAATAGCATCTTAGTCGGAGAGGCTTTTATGTATTTGTGTAGTAGAGAGTACAAACTGTAATAATTCATAATATTGTTCATGGACTCAGGTAGCTGTTGTAAATTGTCACAGCTCTGTTGATTTCAATCGAGTTTCCATGATTTATGAAAGTTGGGATCTGGTTCATACTCTCTTCTTGCCAAAGTATCATTCTGACTTAGGTTACTGAGCCTGCTTAATGTCTGGACAGTCTCATTCTGTTTTACAGTGGAACATTGTTATTTTTGTTTTGCACATGGCCGGTCTTTTCTTAAATCTAGTCATAAAAGAAGAAAAAAAGCACTGTTGTTGTATACTCAGGTGATACACTGGTATGCAGTGGCCAAATAAATATTTCTCTCTCATTTCCTTAATACTGTACCAGGCCATCAGCCTGCACTTACGCTACTTTCCATTGTTAGTATGCTGCTATAAAACAAGAAAAATGTGAAAAACACGGAAGAGGGGGAAAAATGTAAGGTGTTTACAAAGAACCAGTCACTTAATCTAGATAATATAGTATTAAGGCTGCTTCAACAACTGGGCTGAGTTTTCTTGAAAATAAAGTTCTGGATCACTTTCACATCTGGAGCAGCAAAAAACCAGAATAGTGAAACAGTTTTATTCAGTTGATTTCTATTTTTGTGTCATGACTATGACCCAAAAAAGAAACTAAATAACTTGACTAATGTACACTGCCCAGAAACACTACTTGAAAACAAGGGATTCCATATGCACCTTTACTAAAAATGTTTACCTCAAGAGATAAGTACTTTTCTAAGGGAAACAATCTAAAATAGTTTTGAATTACTTTTTTTTGGTGGGGGGGGACATTTATTTAACATGGATAAATGAAAGGCGTTGTTTTTTTTAATTGTTGATTTAAAAATAAATTATGTACTAATTTAAGAAAATATCTCCTGTTTTTACTTAGTTCTCATTTCTATGGATAACTATATCATGTTTTCCTTTAAACACAGCCTGTTTTTCAAAAACAGTATCATAAAGCTAGACTTTTAAAACCTTGTACCTGATTTTCAGAGCTGCTGAGTATCTGCAATTACTGTTGACTTCAAATACAGCTGTAATGATTAGACACTGAAACAAAGTTATATTCCTTTAATCTCTCTCCAACTTTAGCTCTGTGCTGTTGTGGCAACACTCGTTGCTATTAGTACTTGAGCTAGTTCAAATATATGTATGTAAACTACAGTCACTGCATGGTAGAAATCTCTTAAGTCATACAGGATATTACTGCATTGCAGAGTTAACCCAGTGATTGTCATCCTGGTTAACCTCTTGGACTGGGCATAAGCCACAATAGGCAAAGTGAGACCTGAGTTCCTGCATCTTCATAGACATTACTTTCTTGCTGTTTCTGACACTACTGTCACAAGTCCATCCCTGAGTTCTTTATGGAACAAGTTGCCAATCCTCTTGGCAACCAGGGATGAGGTTATTGTGGGAAGGCTTTGGAGAACCATTAGTACTCAACTGATTTAGCCTGCAAAGTGAGGGGATAGCCAGCCTGAGTAAAAGCAGAATGGGAGCTCTGACCTGTATCTGGCTGGTCCATCTTGTCCTATTTGAAAGCAGCAATACACTTGGGTGAGAGGTTTTTGTGTGTAAATGAGTTGGAGAGAGCACAAGTAGGAACCACAGTTCATTATGGGTGCATATATAATATTGAGTTACTGCTAAGGGTTTTGGAAAGGATATTAAATCTCATGTTTTGAGGAATAAGCAAATCCTTAATCATTGGAGATAAGGAATACCTAACAGTTTAATAGTGCTGTTTTCCATAAATCGGAGTCCAAATCAAGCCCCAGGGTCAGAGTCTGAACATTCCAGTATGCAAGTCACTTTGTTTTGGCCAGTATGGATCGGACCAAAACCTTCAGCGTGTACATCTAGGCAAGAGTATAGATGAGGGAAGGCTGCCCTAGGCCTACCCTTCCCCTTTTAGACCCCTGAGACAGAGTCCAAAGGCCAGGCCTTGTGCAAATGTTCACTACATCAATGGCTATAGCTTCTGCTAGAGAGCAACAGATTAAAGCTGTTGCTAACTGCCTAACACCTCAGCGATGGTGCATTTCTGTCAAGGTGATGTCTCAGCCTTTTTCCAATCAAGGAATGAGTCCCATGAAGCAGAGGGGGCTAGAGTTTTGGGGTGCCCTAGGTTTGCCTTACTCTAGAAGTTGCAACATTGTATTTTATAGGAGCTATCCCACCATGCATAGCTCTGCCACATTGCCACTAAGTCCTCCAGTTGGATGCATACACATGTGCAGTTACACTAACTGGATTTTTTGTAGTTATGCACACACACATTGCTAGTAATACAGATTAATATAGCCAAATATGTTTTTGGTTGTTTTTTTTTTAATAAGAGCACACTGGTGGCTCATTCAGTTCATGGTCCACTAAAACCCTTTCTGCAGTACTGTCACTCTTAAGTCTGTTCCATCTCAAGTGCAAGATTTTGCACTTGTCCTTCATAATTTCATTCTATTAATTTTAGAGCATTTCTCCAGTTTATTTAAAACCATTCATGTTCTTAAGGTCATTACTGATCATTTTGGATCCTTCAAGATCTATTACTTTCAGGTAGTAAGATCAAAATAGTAAGTCTTCTGAGCTATTCCATCTGATGTCAATGGGATTTACAGGCTACAGAAGTAGACTGAAACTCATTGTCTGTATGTCTCTGGTTGTTCCTAGGTCAATGGCTAGTGATTGACGGTGTTTATCAGGGCCATCCCTAGAGGGAGCGAATCAAGGTGACTGCCCTGGGCCCCATGCTTTGGGAGGCCCTGCAAAGCCAAGCTGGCTTCACATCCGGCTGCTTGCCCCCCCCCGCCACTGCGTCTGGGCCCTGCACCCTGCTACGGTCATCTCTGGTGTTATACATGTGCTTCCAGGAGTGGAGTGGGGGAAAGCACTCCAAGAGCAGCTCTAATTAAAGCACCCAGAACATCTCATGTATCAGCATCCCTATGCTGAAAAATGGCAGCAGCGGTGCTTTAAAGCTCATCAAACGAGTTTTAGTTAAAGTGCCTCTGCCGCCATTTTTCAGCATGGGAACGCTGATGCATGAAATGCTGAAGTCTAATGGAGTGTGGTAATTACCACGCTCCAGCAGACTTGATTAATCGAGTCTGATCTGACACTATAATTACAGTGCACCAGAGCAGCCTCACTGCTCATGTATAGGTGCCCTGAGTAACTAAATTAAAGCTGTTTGCATGGTGTTGATTGTGCACATTTATACTATTTGTTTGCTTATCTGTTTAACATTTTTGTTTGAATCTGTCTTATTAATTAGTTTTACTGTAAAATTGCCTTAAGATTTTTAACTAAAGGCTTAGCTGTGTGTGTTTTCCACCTTATTTTCCTGTTAAAATTGCC